CATCAAAAAGGGTGCAAAATAGGTGCTACCTTGCCACCAATCAGAAATAAACCTCAGGGAAAACAGCCAAAAACTCTACAAAGGGAGAGAAAGAACAGAAGACCAACACTCATGAGAGAGATGTCGCTTCTCCTCTTCTGAGAAGTGTGCTATTATATTAATGGTTTTATAAACTTGACTTGCTAAGTGCTGCTTTTTGTCTGTCTGTCTGTTAGTGCCATCCTCAAATAGGTCTTGCTCAACCTGCAAAAGTCAAATTATCAGACACTAACAGCTATGAGTTGGAACCAACTTGACAGCACACCACCACCAACAAAAATATGTTCATCAAATTATCATGTGACTCAGTTATTCAACTTCTAGGTATACACCAAAACAATTGAAGAAAATATTCAAACATGTGACAGGGATGAATGAACCTTGAAAATACTATGTCAAGTGAAATAAACTAGATACGAAAGGACAAATTTATGATTGCACTTACATGAACCATCTATATTAAGAAAACTCATAGAGACAGAGAGTAAATTTCAGGTACCTCAAGTTACAATGAACCAAATTTATAACTGTCTGTTTCGTCTATTTGTCTGAACAATTATATAATTTACAGTTTCAAAATAACAGTGACATGCAACCTTCCCACTTACCATCCTGAACCCTTCACTGGGATCAAGTCTCTATCTTGAGACATAATGTTTTGAATATGCTTCCATAGTTCTTCTTTTGCTTGGATATAAGGGCTTCTCCTGGGTCTTGTAGTTCACCTGGTGCCGTCATAGCTCAACAAAGCCATAGTTCACCGGGATAGTAGCTCATATGGGGCTGCGGGTCACCCAGGGCCTTTGTAACTCACCAGGGCCCATAGCTCACCCCGGTTTAGTTCACCTAAGTTGTAGTTCACCTGGGCCACAGCCCACCTAGATTGTAGTTCTCCCAGAGCCACAGCTCACACAGGGTTGTACCTTACCCTCAGTCTTCTTAGCTCACTAGGGCCTGTAGCTCACACAGGCTGTAGCTCCCTGGGTCATTGTAGGAGCAAAAAGTCTTTATCTTTTTAATAGCTGGCCATCTTCCCCTTCACCCTTCACCCTAGACCATGGCCTCCTTGCTCCATCCTGTCTGCCAGGGGCATACCATGTTTTGTTTTTTCTTGAATATCATTAATGATATATACTACACAAAATGTTGTAGCACTCAATTTGTTGATGTTATCAGTCTCAGATGTTCTCTCATAGATGTTCAAAGATTGAATTTGTAAAGATACTGATAGTAAAAGATAATAATAATAATAGTAAAACTGAAATAAAAGAAAAATTCGACATCAGTACCAATTTACATTTATTGGAACAGAGTCCCTGCAAAAGTTGAGGACTGCTTGTGAAAGTTGCTAGGGGCTGGAGAGAGGGGCCTGAAAGTTACTCCTTTATGGACAGAGTCTCTGTTTGGGGTGGGAAAGTTTTGGAACTAGATAATGGTGATGGTTATATAACATTGTGAATGTAACTAATGCTGCTGAATTGTATATTTACACATGACCCAAATGACAAATCGTATAAGTACTCTATTAAATAATAAAAAAAAAATTAAAGTGCCTAAATAATCTTTATATTTTAATAAATAAATGCTATAAACAAAAGCTTGAAATCACTCTCATCCCCCAAATACCTTTCATTTCTAATTACATAGAGGTTTTTGACCTTGAAAGTATTTGCAAGAACATAATGAAATAGTTATTAAAATTTCTTAACTAAATAGTTTATAGAAAAAAAGACTTTAATAAGTAGGAATATTACTTAGTCTTTACTGTAAAACTTTCTTTTCTAATATTTTTTTTAAAAGCAAGACAAGAATTCCATGGATTTAAAAGTCAAATAGTTTTAATGTCATGTAAAACATTAAAAAAAAAAAACAAAAAAAACCTTAGGTTAATGGACACAGTAAACTGCTCAATTAACACACATATGTATACTAAAAATTTTGTCAAGAAATGTTTCTGTACATTTCTTTATATTTACTGTACTGTTCCTGATGTAACAGGCTCACTCATGGGCATCAAGTACCTATATAAATTAAATGCAAATGCAGCCCTGGTGGTGAAGTGAATTAAATGTTGGGCTGCAAAAATAAATGTCAGATATTTGAAGCCACCATCTGCTGTGAAGGAGAAAGATGAAGAACTCTGTGTAAGGATTTACAGTCTCGAAAACCCTACGGGGCAGTTGTACTATGTCCTATAGAGCCACTGAGTAGAGTTGGGATTGACTCTAAAGCAGTGGATTTGATTTGCATTTTATGCTAATGCATTTTAGAAATGAATTTTATCATGGAATGTTTTCCCTACTCTTTCTTTTAATCTCCTTTTCATCATTCACATTCTCTGCCTTTTGCTACCTATATTCTTCCTCTGTCTACATCTGCATATACACACATACACCCCCTGCTAAGCTCTGGTAGAGTAGTGGTTATGAATCGGGCTGCAAACCTCAGGGTCAGCAGTTCGAAACTGCCAGCTATTTTGCAGGAGAAAGATGAGGATTTCTGCTCCCGTAAAGATTTACAGCCTCAGAAACCCTGTACAGGGTTGCTATAAGTCGGAACTGACTCCACGGCACATAGCAACAATGACCCTCAAAATGATTTTGTTTCTAACTCTATGGTCACTCATTGAACCTCCTGGCTTCATCCTATTATGTAACAACTGCTTTATATCAATGCCAATGAGGACAGAGTCTTCGAGCAAACTGTCATTAAAAAGAATAAAAACATAGATAAATATATCTTGAAAAATGGAAATTCAAGTTGTTTTACTGTATCAAAAATGAGTTTTTTCTCTCAATATGAAAACACTCAATTTACTCCAAAAAGAAAGAAAGAAACCAAGGAAATTATCAACATCAGTGTTTTGCAGTAAAAGCACTACTTGTAACTGTCAGTGAATAATTTGGAAAACAGAAGCAATAAACTCTGGAGTGGTATATATTTAGGATGAAGTAAAAATGCTTTTCTAACTTGTAAAGGAAACTTTTACATGAGAACTACTTTCTGATAGTTGTCTCATCACAATGGAAGCAGCCTCAGCCTCAGGTTGATTTAGCTCTAATAAAATAAGAGAGGAAATGTAAGTTAAGCATTATATATTTGTTTAAAAATCCTCTTATTTAAAATATAAATTGAATTCCACTCTCTGGTCTTCTGGGGATTATCAGTCAGGCATAGTACAGAGAACATTGGTAAGTACAATGAACAAATTAATGCAATCATCTGTTTGGAAGGAAAATCTAATTATTTTACTTTCACTCACATTTCTTTCATGAACCTGCTTTCCAATATTAGTGAAAACAAGAGACATTTAGCTCAAAACAGAGATAGTGAGGAAGAAAAATCAATAATCATACAAATGTAATAATCTGATTTATGATTATTTAGGTTTGACAATACTTTGTTGTTGTTAAGTGCTGTCAAGTTCATTCTGACTCATAGTGACCCTGCTAGGGTTTCTGATCAGTTGGTATGTTTCAACTACTGACTTTTGTGGTTTTCAGCCCAGTGCTTATCCTATAGCACCACACAATACTTAGAAATACTATAAAATTTAAGATAGTATATATCTTATGTGAATGTATCAATATGCTATAATGTAATGAAACAAAATGTATTAGGCAATGCTTTGTAAATATAGCCACTCCATTACACTAATCTAAAATAAAACTAAGCAAAAATACTTCACATAACCTTTAGACTGTTATGTTACAGTGACTGATGTTGTTGTTGTTATGTGCCGTGGAGTCAGTTCCGACTCATAACGACCCTGTACAGGGTTTCCAAGGCTGTAAATCTTTACAGGAGCAGAAAGCCTCATCTTTCTCCCACGGAACAGCTGGTAGTTTTGAACTGCTCACCTTGCGGTTCGCAGGCCGATTCGTAACCACTCTGCTATAGTACCCTTGTATTGTAAAATTTCCAAGCTTCCCAAACTATTATGGATTCATGGTCATAATTAAATTTCTATTCCCAAAACATTAGGAAATAGAAAGCAGTCATTTCACATTTATATGACACAGCCCCCAAACAACAGTTAAATTAGAAAACAAACACTGAAAACAATACCTCTTAACTCAAACTCCTTCCTCTGCAGTAGACATAGCCTTCATCCTGCTGTCCAAAATCAAGCTATCACTATCTACTTCTTAGACTTTCTGAAAAACACAATATTTCCCTTATTCTGAAATTAAATATACTGAAAGTTTATTTTAGTGATATATTGTGAGAAGTATCGTTGTTGTGTTGTTAGGTGCTATCCACTTGGTACTAACTCATAACAACCTTATGCACAGCAGAATGAAACTCACAATCATTGCTATGCTTGAGCCCATTGCTGCTGCCACTGTACTAATGTATCTCATTCTAGGTGTTCCTCTTTTAGCTGACCATCTACTTTACCTAGCATGATGTCCTTCTCCAGGGACTGGTCCCTCCTGATAATATGTCTGAAATCTTAGAGTCAGCCCATCCTAGCTTGCAAGGAGCTTTCTGGCTGTACTTCTTCCAATGGAGATTTGTTCTTCTCCAACAACATAACTCAAATGCATCAATTGTTCTATGGGCTTCTTTATTCATTGTCCTACTTTCACATGTATATGAGGTCATTGAAAATATCATGGCTTGGGTCAGGCACACCTTAGTCCTCAAATTGACATCTTTGCTTTTGAACACTTTAAAAGAGATGTGCTGCAGATTTCATTAATGCAATATGTCATTTGATTTCTTGACTGTTTCTTCCATAAGTGTTGATGGTTGTTCTGAACAAAATGAAGTCTTTGACAACTTCAATCTTTTCTCCATTTTTCTTAATGATATTTATTGGTCCAATGTTGATAATTTTTGTTTTCTTTATACTGAGGTGCAACTCATACTCAAGGCTGTGGTTTTCATTTTCATCAGTAAGTATATTAAGTTCTCTTTGCTTTCAGAAAACATGGTTGTATCATCTTCATATTACAGGTTATTAATGAGACTTCTTCCAACCCTGTTGCCACATTTCTTTTCATATAATTCAGCTTCTCAGATTATTTGCTCAGCATAAAGATTAAGTAAGAAGGGTGAAAGAATATAACCCCGGTGCACACCTTTACTAACTTTAAACCATTCGGTGTTCTCTTGTTCTTTTCAAACAACTGTCACTTGTTCTATGTACGTGTTACCAATAACAACAACAAACATAAAAATGTTTGCAGTACAAAATTGGTAATTAAAGGCAATCATAAACTTGATTGAAAAGTCCCTGTTCTCTTTTACTGTTCTCATAAGTTTAGACTACCTAATGTTCTTCCCCTTCCTTTCTTTCTACAAACATTTACTCAATGCATACTATATTATTTATCTAGTGCTGCTATAACAAAAATTCTACAAGTTGGTTGCTTTAGCAAACATAAATGTATTTTATCACAGTACAGAAGGCTAGGAGTCTGAATTCAAGATGCTAGCATTAGGGAAAAGGTTTCTTTCTGTGTACAATCTAGGGAAAGTACTTGTCTCTTTCCGGTTTTTCTCCTAGGTTCTTTGATAATCATTTGGTATGTATCACACCCATTGTTTATACTTGCTTGCTTAATCTGCCCTTTTATATATCAAAAGAGATTGATCTACGACACATGCTACATAAATACTGCCTTGTCAATGTAACAAAGAAAATCCATTCACAAATGAGATTATAACCATAAGCATAGAAGTGAGAATTTATCATGTATTTTTGGAGAACACAATGAATTCATAATATTTTTTGTGTCGATTCATCAAAACTTACATCCTTTATAAGAAAACATTTTGAGGGAATGAGTCACTAGACCAGCGGATCAAAATCATGGGTACATCAAGGTCATTTGGCATAACAGAGTCCACAAAAACAATATTCTTCATCCTAATTAGGTGAGTAATGATGTTGTTGTTGTTGTTGTTAGGTGCCATCGGGTCATTACTGACTCATAGAGACCTTATGCTCAGTACACCGAAACACTGCCCGATCCTGGGCCACCTCACTAATGTCACCACACTTGAGTCCATCAATGCTGCCACTTCATCAATCCATCTCGCTGGGGGTCTTCCTCTTTTGCTCTGACCCTCCAACTTACCAAATATGATATCATTCTCCAGCAACTGGTCCCTCCTGACAATATGACTGAAATATGAAATACGAAGTATGGCCATCTTGGTATCCAAGGAGCACTCTGGCTGCACTTTTTCCAACACAGATATGTTTGTTCTTCTGGCAGCCCATGACACTTTCAATATTCTCCTCCAAGACCATAACTGAAAAGCATCAATTCTTCTATGGTCTTCCTTATTCACTGTCCAGCTTTTGCATGCATATGAGGTTATTGAAAATACCATGGCTTGGGTCAGGTACACCTAATTTCTCAGGCTGACATCTTTGGTCTTCAACATTTTAAAAAGGTCTTGTGCAGCAGATTTGCCTAATGCAATACG